GGGAAAAAGGCAGAAATCCCAGAGGGAGATATCTATCTCTGACAACCTGAGCAAATAAAATCCAAATTTTCTGCCCGGCTGAACTGATACAGATCGGGCTCTGTGTAGATTTAAGCATCAAGTTTAAATGGTTTCTTAAAAGGCCATAATATTCATGTCATGTGGAAGTAGTTGATGTTAGCTGTTGGGACAGCTGCCATGCTGACATGTGGTGTAGTTCAACACCTTCTAGACAGCCTGCAGTGCATCAAACCACCTCCCCTGGGGTGACTTGCTTTTCCACCATATGATCCCACGATTCTGCGACCCCCACTTGTCTGTTTTGATTTCTGGTCCACCCCTAATGCAGGTAGAACAAAAACAAATTCTTGCAAATAGTGTCAGATGCTTGCTTGATACAAAAAAAAATAGTTTTGTCACTGAGCACACAGAGCACTTCGCACTTCTAATGGGATTAGCGTGATATTTGTCATCTCACGAGGGGGGCACCACATACACACTAACACGCCCACAGCTTTCTTTAAGACAGGCCTCCGAGTAACTTGCTAATGGCGTCATCTCTGCCTGTGTGCATTTAAAAACTCCCTGAATGTGCATATTGTCTGCTGCAGGGCACATTCGTTTGATGAGTCTAATCCCTTGTCTGGAGAAACAAAGGTGTAACACTCGGCTGCTGAGGATCAGTGAGCGTGAGTGATGGTGTACATAAGCCCATCTCTCCCAATCCCACACAGCCTCCTAATCCTGAAAGATCAAGTGTAACCAGACTGGAAGTGTGACTGGGTGGAAGCCAGCGTGATGCTTTCGGTTATGTTCACTCGCACCGTGATCACGACAATCACATTATGTCACGCCTGTCTAATCTTTTCTTACTGCTGCCTGAAATTTTCTTCTTATTTGTAATGAAAGACCAAATACTATCCCTACTCCACATTCGTTTTACTAAAGTGTTACTATATGGACACAGATGTTTGAGCAACGTGTGCAACCACGCATGAATTTTACGGTAAACATCTGTGTAGAGGCTATGCATGCATTTATGCGTACATATATAAAGCATGTATGCTTCATATATGTCTTACAAAGACCTTGGGGATTGATTTCCATTGTACAATGAAACATCAGTCAAATCTGAGTAGGCAGTAATACGAACTGAGCACCGGCAGGAGCCAGGGAGCATTAACATGAGTCTATTTTTAAATCAGGAACTGTGAGTAATGTTGTTTTCCTCCATTTGACTAAGAGTGTTTCATTTCAATCCCATATGCTCTTATTGCTGTTATTGCTGTTATTGTATATTTTACACATGTTGGTATGGGATATTGTATTTGTTTTAAATGTTATATACCTATGTGGTATGTGACTTTTGTTGCCATGATGCCAGGTCTCTCTTGGAAATGAGATTTTTAATCTCAATGAGATTTTTTTACCTGGATAAATAAAGGACTAATAATTTTTTTTTTTTTTAACAAATACAGCTGATTAGGTCCTTCTTAATATTTCTCTTTTGCAAGTGAAGGCTTGATAACAGCCTCTGATTTGAGATACTTTTACTGAAACAGCAACCACATTTTTGCTTCCTTTTGTTTTCAAGAGAATTTTGACAGGATTCAGTGTTAATATAGTTTGGCTTTTCTTTAGTGCTAATATTCTCTTCAGTTTGCTTAAGTTGCAGGATACAGCGCTTAAAAAAATCATGAACATTTGTAGATCATGTATATACTCTAAGTATGAATAAACAACAATATCTACATGCAGCTATACAGGTTTTCTGGATAACAATATATATGCTGACACGCCTTTTGCTATGGAATCTTCTGAACTTCTGCCAGTTCTCTCAGTAGCAAAATACATCTAAACTATAAGTGTTTAGGCTTCATTTGTAGTTTCATATAAATGGCATTACCATGAGACTGACAAATTGCAGGAATAAACTGAACTGTTGACCGCTACATTGAGGCGGTCCTGAGGATGAATCTCTTACCACTGTTGTCTCTAGTGGGACTTTCCATGCTACAGTCACAGAAGAGACAACAGTAGTGGGAGACCATATTTGACTTGCAGTTTTATTACCTGTACACTGGTTGCTTTGAAGATGGAGACCAGGTCCAAAAGACCTGCCATCTTCAAATCAACTTTAGTGTGCCAATGATCATAAGACTGAATGGGGTCAAGTTGGCAATTACATAAAATAATCCCAAATCTATGAAATCTGTTGACACAGAAATTATCATTAAATAGAAATTCACATTAACTTCTTGCATTCAGAGTCCAGCCACAATGTCATAGATTTAAAACAGAAATATGGATATTCTGCTACAAATAGTGGCAGAGCTGCTGCAGAACAGTGGTTTAACTACAAAATGACATAACCTCACTTTTATAAAGAAATATAACCTGAATGCAATCAGTTGGCAATCAACTGAGTCTCGTATTGCAAAGAGATGTGTCACAGACAAGTTACACTTATCTGCACAGACTGACTCAGTTTGGTTACAGTGTGCTGGAAAATCTGTCTGCATTTATAAATTAGATGGCAGCTATTTGTAGACCTTCACCAATCTGTCTGAGAATGAGTCCAGACAGTCTGAGCTGGAGCGAGACTGTTTGGATACAGGTTGCCTCCCACTAAGTGATCTCTGCAATTGTCACTTAAAAGTGTTCACCAGGAGGTTAAGGGCCTTGCATGCTCAGTTTTTGGGTGATCAGTTGATCATAGCAGTTACTTGCAATCGGTTTCTGAATCTGAAAAAATTCAGTGCAATCAAAAAGCAACCACTAATGGTTGCCATCCTATTTTTACTCTAGTGTGACTGAGCCATTATGGTCACAACAAATCAATATGAAGTTGCTGTGAATGATCACATTCAAACTACAACAAAACATTAATATGAATGAGTGTTTTTTTTTCATGTTTTGACCTTCACAGTCACCAGCTTTCAACCCACTACATGAACACCTATGAGAGATTCTGGACTGATGTGTTTAACACCTCCACACATTGGAAAGCTGGTGGTCCATACTCTCAGTAGGCCTGCTTTTTGGGGCCTCTATATCTGCGTTATAACTGCTTTGGCCGGTAGATTACAGGATACCTCGGGAATCAGCATTGAAGATAATATGGGACATTTGGTAACCCAGCGCCTTAATGAGACGCTTTATGATTCTGTTTCCTTCAATTTGTACTTGTCTGTAGTTTCATCAGTAATCAAACCCTCTAGGGCAAAATAATGCTTTGCTGTGATTTGAGCTACATGCTATCAAATCAGTTCTGGACCCAGAAAAATCGTAATTAATAACCAACAAACTAGCATTGGAATTATGAATTACTGGAATTCATAGCGCTTTGTA